ACACCTATCCCAGGCACAGGTCGGCTGCACTGTCATCCACACCTGACCTTGGACACTAGGCTGGCTTGACCCCCAGGGCCACTCCTCACAGACTCTCCCTGGGCTTCAGGTCTCCTGAAGGAGTGACCACAGCTGGCTGGAAAGTGGCTCAAAAAGTAGGTGCTATGGCGACCCTTGACCTGCGTAGATGAATAAGAGGACCCCCACCCCCTGAAAGAAGCAGGTAAAAGCATTTCAGTGAGTGGCCCTGGCAGGAGGAGCGATGCCATAGGTTCCAGAGCCTAGAGAGCGTGGGTGTCTTGTACCAGGCCACAGGTTTCAGAAGGAACACTTAAATGGACATGATTAATGGGCCACAGGGGGTGACAAGTCAGTTCACAGGGTCCTGTGTCCTCCCTGGTCCCAGGGCAGCATCCCGCAAAGCTAGGAAAGTGCAAGGTAGGTATGTTGGGGTACCCACCCACCCTGTTCAAATCTCACCAGACCATCAATTGTGAGGAAAGGAAAAGACCCACAGAATGTCAGGAAATGACTCACGGACCCTTAACAGATATTTAAAATGCACGGCACACATGTTCTTACTGAGACAAGATGCACAGTGGGCGCTGTGGACGACGATTGGATTTTTAAAGTGAAAATCACAGCTAGATCTACAAGAGCACTGTCACAGGGGCGTGTCTGGTGGAGCCACAGAAGACAGGTTTTGGGGTTCAGCTGCAGCCCACTCTGCAGCCAGCCTCCGGGAGGGCTTCCCTGGCTCTGCCTTGCACCACCAGCGGGAGAAGGTGGGCTGGGTGGGGAAGCCCAGAAAATCCCTCTGGAGTCCTCCCGGGGACATTGACCCCTTAGAGGTGTGTCCCAGACCCCCGAACCTCCCAGGCCCCCCGAGCGTCCTCCAGAAGGCTAGAGGAAAGGCCTGGAAGCAGGTGCACCTCCACCCCAAGCCCACGCCCTCTGGGCTGAGAAAGGCCTCGCAGCACCTTCTCCCACTTGCTCCCTTCCATCCTGATGCCCCTTTGACTTTTGGTCTCATCTAAACGGCCTCATAACCCACTAATTGATTTCCAGTATTATCATCATGGACGCTTGGATTTCTCAAGGTTCTTTACTGACTTGGCAGGTTGTCACCCTCTCTGAGATGGCTGTCTAAGTGCTGTCTCCTTACCCACGTCTCTTTTACTCACTTTTGGATGTTTTAACCAGAAACTGGCTATGGGCCTGACTTTCTGCTGGGTACTGTCTGCGGGCTCCGTGGGAAGGACAGAGGTGGGGAGAAAGGCAGGGCCTTCTTGGGGTCAGGAAAAGTGGGGTCAAGAGCTGGACAGGGCCAGGAGCTCCTCACAGACCCTGGAAGCCCCATGAATTGGCAGAGACACCCTGCTTGGTGGCACTCCTGATGCTCCTCTGAGTCCTCTCCATGGACCTGGACCTTGGCCTCTGCCCTGCCAGTAGCCTGCACCGCCCAGTTTTAGCAAGTGCCCTGCTGAGTCAGTTCAGCCTGAGCCTCATGCCCCTGAGGTCTGATCACCCTTTGCCACCTGAGGTCTAAGTCCTTGGCCCATCCTCAGCAAGAGTCCCACAAGGACAGGCTGGCCTCCAGGCACCCACAAGCCTGGTCCCAGGGCAGGGCCTCAGGGGAGGACAGTCAGAAGTCCCTGGAGGCTGGCTGTTCCAATCCATGCAGCCTTGGCCTCCCTCCTGACTCTCTCAGACCTCCAGGCCCAGCCCTCTGGGAGCCCCTCAACACTTCTAAGGCCACACGCCGGAGCGAAGAGCTGGGGCGCCCACGGCTGGGCCGGGCCAACTCCACCTTCATCATTTTGGATCAGCAAGGTCTGTTCTGAACTTCAGGACCTGGCTGGGCTGTCTCTGGTGAGGACCCTGGGGGTTGGACTCTCTGACTTTCTGGCTTCCTTTCTGCAGAATCTCAGGGAGACGTTAAGACACAGGCACTTACTTTTCCTGTCTGTAGCGTTGTGCACGGTCACAGTGGGCACTCCAGGACCTGCATGGGGAAGGGCGGGGAGCCAGAGAGAGACAGAACAGAAATCATTAGTTCAGCTGAGCACGGGGAGCAAGCAGACGTTCCCTACTATGTGCAGACTATGGAGTCTGGGGAGCCCAGCTCTGCGCGACAGGGGCCGCAGAAGGCCCGTGTGGCTCTACTGAAGGTTTTCAATTTATGGTGGTGCAGAGCCACAAGCATGCGGCAGGAGTTACGCTTTGAATCTGGATCTCTTCCAGTGCTGCAGTGTGCCTCCTGGTCCTCCCTCGCGATGCTGGGAGGTGGCACGGAGCCAGAGCCCCCTCAGATGATGGAGAGTCTGCAGAGTACGGAGGTGCTGGGCTAGGATGGGTGCTAGGTGAGGGGTAGTGGATGAATTCTGCACTTTTAAGATTTTTAAATTAGGATTAGTTTACAGGGACATGATCTCATTGTGCATCCAGGAGCATCTGTGTGAATGTTTAGATTGTTGTAATGACATTTCACGCAGCATCTTGTCGGGTTTTTGTACGTGTGACCTCATTCATGCTATCCAGGCCCAGAGCGCTGTGCTGGCTTCCTGGAGACCCTTCTGAAGAAGGTGTCTGTCTCTGCTGGACCCCGGAGGCAGCTGCTCCAGGCCCTGGGCCCCTTGAGCACTGTGCACGGAGGTGCTGGGTGCAGGCTGCAGGGACAGTGTCACGCCTTGATGGCCCCTTGATCCCTTTCGTTTGCAGCTTCCCAGCTCCAGGTCTGTCGCACTCTTGGGGGAAAGGCCAGTTCAGGACATGGTGGCCCCTGGGCACCTTCCTCTGTAGGTGATTTCTGTATTCTCTTCAGCAAAAGGAGAGTCCAGAGAAAAAGAGGGGGGTTCTGAAGTTTTGTCACACACAGACGGCAGGCCAGGTGCCCTTTCTAACCCTCTCTGCCACTCTCCTCCGCCCTTTCCTCCCCTTGCAGGGCCAGCTATGCCCGCTGGTCCCCACGGGGCTGACTGTCCTGTGGCCTGACGTGCCCCAGCCCCCCACACTGGCACAGCCTGTCAGTCTCTGATCTACAGCCCTCTCTGACACCCCGTCCAGAGCGGCAGCCAGGACGTGGCCAGCCTCGGCCCTGGCTCACTCCCCTTCCCTTCCTGGAGCTTGATGCCACACGCTGTCACAGGGTAGCCTACAAGTCTGACTGTAGCACTGCCGTTCACCGCCCTTCCCCCTGACCGTGCCAGGACCCGGGCTCCACAGCTGTCAGGGACTCGTCGTCCTGTTCACTGCTGTGACTTTCAGCCTCCTGGAAGGTGGCTGGATGGTGCTGAGCGGGCCACACAGAGCACGCAGGAGGCAGGGAAGGCTTCCCCCTGGCTGGGGAGGGAGGGGGGCTGAGGGCAGGAGGACACTGGGCTGTGTGGGCCCCATGGCCAGACGGCTGCCTGTGTGCGGCTTCAGGCTGGGGCTCTGGGTGCTTGGAGCTCCCCGGGGCTCAGCAGAACTGCAGAACAAGTGATTTTGGGTAGAGAATTGGCTGGAGTTCTGGGAGCCCCCCAACACTTCTAAGGCCATGGGTCTGCTGTGGCCTCTGTGACTTGGAGGCCTCCTGCAGAGGCTAAGAGTGGACCTCTTAGTCCAGACCTGGAGAGGACGCTATGGAAAAGCAAAGCGCCCTTCACATCGACAGGCAAGGTGGGGTAGGTCAGGCTGGGGCATACTGACGGGCAGGTCCCAACTGCCGAGAGACGTGGACTGTGGCCATACCAGCTCTGGACATCATAGCAGGTGCCTGATTGCCCAGGAACCGGACACAGACTCCATTCAGTGCACTTCAGAGTCTAGGAGGTCAGGGCCTTTCCCTACACTGGGCCCCTCCCCATTCACCCAGCAGCAGGGTGGCCAGATAAAATGCAGGGTGCCTGACTACATGTGGCTCTCTGGTAAACAACAAATGTTTTCTCTGTATCAATATGTCCTTGCAGCATTTAGGACATATTTCTAAAAATATGTGTTGTTTATCTAAAATCCAAAAGTAACTGGGAATCCTGTTTTTTTTTTTTTTATTGGCTAATTCCAGCCCCACCAGCTAGGAGGGACGATGGCTGAGCTTCTGAGACGGCGATTACTGAAGGGGGTCAAGTACGAACAGTAGGTTTAAATTATTGAGGCAAGCTAAGTTCTCCAACAGGAGGATCCCTTTCCCCACGGGGAGCCGACAATGGACGAGCAGACCAGTTATGGAGAAATAAAGAGCCTACATCTATTTCCTCTACACATTTCAGGGTGAGTAAATTTGCAAACAGAACATATCCTGTGCTCTTATTAATAATGTAAACAGCTATTATTTATTTAGTGCCTCCCATGTCAAAGCACATTGCTAGATGTTTCATACGAATGATTTCTAGCCCAATCTTCACAACAGTTCTGCAAAGTAGATGTTTCTAACCTGATTTACAGACGAGAAACACAGGTTTATGGCTTCAAGTCTCTGGTCACATCCACGCAGTAAGGAAGTTTCCGGGCCTGGGTAAGTCCTTGCTCACTTTCTAATTCACAAACTTAATACATTTCCCAAAAATTCAAATACTGAAAAAAGGGAAAAATGACAGGGGGAAGGCCCACCTCATTGCTCTTCCAGAAGCAGCCTCAGTGTTTCTGGAATGTTCTGAAATGTTTATCTGCATACAGGTGGTCATAGTTACACATAAGCAGATGTTTTAACACACAGAAAAAAATAACATAAAAGTGTTTCATGCCCATCCGTAAACTTTACCAAACATCAACGTTGACCTGTACTTGCCCTAGTTATTTATTTATTTTTAAATAAAACGTCAGGGATAGACTTGCGGTCACCTGTGCATCTTTCTCTGACCTCTGTAGAGCTGTAGGGAAAGCACAGGGAGCACCGCCTGACACGGGGCTGGGCAGCCATGTTGGACATGAACATGAAAAGCCCAGGAGACAGAAATGGAGAGTGGGATTGCCTCCCGCAGCGGCTCCCACAGCCGGAGCCTGGGAGTCACCGACAGGGAGAGGCACACAGAGGGTCGTGTGCAGAATGGGTGAGAACTCAGACAACTCCACTTTAGGAAGACGACCGTGTTAGAAAAGGGCAAAGGATCTGAATGGACATTTCTTGAAAGGAGATATGCCCATGGCCCAGAGACACATGGAAACCTGCTCGACGCCATGAATCATGGACGTGCACCTCAAAACCACACTTGGCTTCACCTCACACCTGGTAGAACGGCTTTTATCACAAGATGAGGGATAGGTGTTGGAGAGAACGAGGAAGAAGGGGGCCTTGCACACGCTGGTGGGAACGTCAGTGAGTACAGCTGTTGGGGAAAAGTAACAAAGGCTCCCCAACAAATTTAAAATAGAGCCACCATATGATCCAGCCCTCTCATTACTGGGTACAGATCCAAACAAAATGAACCAGTTTTAAAGAGACAGCTGCACCCCTCGTTCATTACCCACAACAGCCAAGACAGGGAATCAGCCGTGTCCACCAGTGGATGGATGGATTCACACCATGTGGTGGACACACGGTGGGACACTATTCAGCCTTCAAAAGAAGGAAAGTCTGTTCTTTGTGAGACCATGGACGAAACTGGAGGATGTGATGTCATGTGATGTGAGTCAGGTGCAGAAAGCCCAACGTCGCATCATTTCACTTACAGAATATACGACCCTAGAACTGAGAGATGGGGAGCAGGACGGTGGTTACCAGGGCCTGTGGGGAAGGGGGAGTGTTGGGGAGCCACTGGTCAGAGGGTGAAAATCTCAGCTAGGAGGGAAGAGTTGAAGAGACCTGTTGTGCCACACGGCGACCCGGTATTCTTGAAAATGTAAGGGAAAAGTAAGGCACTTGTAGCATAATACACCGTGTCTCAAGGCGACATACTTCATACCGTCTTGGTGTGGAGGCTGACAGCTGCAGGAAGACGAGGCCCAGTGTGCAGGAGTGGGTGGGACAGAGACTTTGGAGCAGAGCTGAGCACTCCTGAGAGATCTGAAGGCTCCCTGTGCTGGGGCCTCACAGGTCCGCAGGGGAACGGACGCAGGGAGTGGCGCGTTCATGTGACAGCCAGTGCAAGAAGTAAACAAAAGGCCCCTGGGCTACTGATTAGCAGGGTGGCTGATGAAGGCCCAGCGACCCCCATGCGGAGGGCCACAGAGCGTGCGGGGTGGATGAGAGGCCATTTACCGCTGACAAGGACAGATGGTAAGCAAGGCCAGTGAAGACCTCGGGGGAAGAGGAGTGGGCCCTGTGATGGCCGCCACGTGAACACGTTTATGAAGGTGCAGACGTCAAGGGGGTGCACAGCACTAGGCTGTGTGACCACGCAGAGCTGTGCTAGTGGCAGAGGGCGGGGTGGGGGTGGAGAAGTACGGCGGCTCTCACAACCTCTGGTCGTGACCTTGGCCAGCGCACATCACCTGGCCCAGTCTGATGGCAGTGGAGCGTGCCGAGTCCCCATCTCCTAAGGAGACTGTGATCCCATGGCAGTGGGGGTGACGCCTTCCAGGCAGGGGTGAACACGGGGGACCCACGGCCTCCCACCAAAGGCAGAGCAGTACACCTTGAAGCAGATATCGTCTACCTGGCCTTGTGCAAACAGTGCACAGAGGTGCCGGTCATCGTTTTTGAAGACATTTTTTTTACCTAACGGACACATGTTTTTGGACATTGTCAAGCCCCTGAGTGGGGCAGGGTGTCTTCCCACACCTGCTGGGCATTTGGGTCTCTTGAGGGTCCCAGCCCCAGTCCCATTTCAATCACACTGTGGCTCGTTCTTACCAGTTTGGGGTCTTGGGTCCTTACCGTGCTGCTGCAGATAATTCTCCTGCTTCCTTTTAAGGTCCAACAGCACAGATCAGAGCATTTATTATGCTGAACTGCAACTTTAAAAAGTGTGAGCACTTCCACTCCACAGACAGGAGGGTACACAGGCGGAGGGCGGGGTCGGTCTCCCCCACTGCCTACCCCCTATCCCAGACTGAGTGCTGGGCACCAATGTGTGTGTTACAGAT